GTCCACAAAGCTTCATGCTAACAACACACGTCCACAAAGCTTCATGCTAACAACACATGTCCAAAGATTTGTATTTTCTTTCTCACTGAACAAAAACTAAAGTTCATCATCACATCAAAGAGAAACAAACTGAAGTTGCGTGTTTACCTTTGATGTTTTGTCAGATGAGTTTATTCCGTGATGAGCTCTGGAACTTTGCTCCACTTCACTTGTGAGTAATAGAAAGTTATAGAACGTTTCTATTAGAAAGTGTCGGAGGTCATGTTCATGTTTCGTTCTGTGGATCATCACAGGTCTGAAGCTACAACTGCGTGATTTAATTAAAGACGTTCACTGTGACGTACACGTTCAACATGGCGGAAATTACCGCCTTCATTTACCGGCGCCGTAAAACGTGCAAAATACGTCAGGTGTCAATCGCGTCATTTAAAAAAAAAACGGCGTAAATTGCGGCGTTCTGGCGGGATTCACGCTGCGTTTTACGACGTCTTGTGCGACACCGGGCGGCGTTGTGTTAATGGCCACGCCCACTTTCACAACCACTGAAATCGAACTTATTCAATTAAATTATTCGTTTAAACTTAATCAGCCAATCAGCAAGAAGAAGAGCTGATCAAACCACTTGATGCTTTGCTGTAGAACAACTGACAGGTGATGGTGGAGTAAATATATATCCAGTGTCCTCTCTGTGTCATTAAATACAGATATATTAATAAACCAAGTTAAAGAAGAATTTGCCTGTGATGGCTTGGGTGCACAACATTTTATTTAATCATCATAATCATGCTTTAATGTGTTTAATGCATTTACTTGACTTTAAGCTACATTTTATTTATGCAATGTGCTGTATAAATGTATTATTATTATTATTATTATTTACAGGATCATTAGGATAAGTTTGACATTTCCTACTGTCTCAACATTGTCTACAGCGCATGACTGGGCTGTAACAATAAAACAAACACTTATTCATCATTCTTATTTCTGTCAACACCAATGACGAGTGTGTTATCTACGTGTTCCCATTTAAAACCATCGATAAGAGCTGATCTGAACAGTTTGCTTTTTCTCTCTGCTGACAAACAACACAAGACTTGGTTTACTTCAATCTTTGGCACACCCAAAGCATCAATTTAATTCACTCATTCAAAAAAAGACAAAGTACAAAAGATTAATTCTTCATCATTCATTCTACCACAGAACTAGAAACCAACCTTCATCCGGAGATTTCACACGAGTGTTTAGTAGCATGTTGTGAAACTGTGAAGGTTTAAAAAGTTGAAGCAGTGCAGAGACATTCAGGGGGAGTGATGATCCAACAAAACATACTGCAGCTCAGCTACACGTGTGCAAACAGCACAACGTGGAACATACATGTCCGTCACGTCAAATGAAAAGCTGCCATTTCTGCATTACTGCCCAAACACACATTTCCCAACAGTGTTTTTACACAGTGCCAATGATATTTGACCATTATCCTTCAGCAGTGCAGTAACAGACGCATACATCAAATACATAAACACATAAAATCAAATATTGTGGAGTTTTTGGCGAAGTCTACATTCTACATCCGAGCAGCAGGACGGGGATCTGAAAAAACAACTCAAGCTCTTTACCAGGCTGTTGTGCATCTCACTTACAGTGTGTTTTATTTTTCACCTTCCACAGTTCTAATATTTCAGTAAAGTGAATCCACTCAACGCTCATAAATCCAACAAGCTCCGTCATTATCGTCACGTTTTATTGCCGTTACCTTTTTATCTACGGAGACTTTTGCTGCACCTCGTCCCCCTCCCTCTCTCATCCTTGTTCTCTGTCTGAACTATCCACTCAAGGCAAACAATCTATAAAATAATGCTGTTAAATAAGTGTTGTTTTTATATTTAAATAATGGATGTCAGATAACAGAGACCGCCAGGAAAGGAAAGGGAGACGATGACATGCAGCAAAGGGCCAAAGCTGAACTAGAATTCAATAAGGACTTACTCTAGTTTGTGTTACCAGGTCGGTTCAATGTCGCAGATATATTTCAGGGACATTTTGTGATAAGGGCCAAAAAACAAGTGTCTTATTTTGGGGAAACTCAGTAGCCTGAAGATATTATACTTTATACTGCAAAATAAAAAGAAGAAAAAGAATAAAGATGAAGGAATCTCTGCACAGCCCAAAGTCTTTCTCCAGTTCAGACGTATGTTGTATTCACTTGAGAAGAAAGAATTCTGCTTTTTATTTTTTAGAATTAACGAGAAAGTTCCAACTCATGCGAGAAGCTTTCATCTTTATCACATAAAGGCACAAAGTCTCCCAACGTCTCGACCCCAAACTGAAACAAAACTGGATCAAACTCAACAGGTGGAACATGTCGGCTCCTGAGCTTTATCTGAGGTCGCTTACCTCATTATTTCAGAGTTTTTTTTCCCCAAGTGAATTTAATAACTTCTGCGCTCCTGAATTTGAAGTGATTAAAAACACAAAGCTAAACTACTGCACTTGACTGAATAAAAATATCTGGCAACCGCATTGTAAAGACTGTATATCAAGGGAGTTACCTGTTAGGATATGGTTTTAAAAACATTGTATATTATTGATATAACAACCGTATGCAGCAGACTTGTGGTTTCTAGTTTACTTTTAAAAATATTTCCCAAACAACATCTGCAGAAAAAATGAAATGGAACCGTAAAACAAATCAAGGTTTATAAAAAAAACAAAAACACTGTAACCGTCCCGTTAAAACAGTGTGGGCTTTACAAAAGCAATAACATGGCACTGTCAGCGATTTCCTTTGCTCACCGAAAAGTTCATGGATGCAAGTGCGTGGAGATTCTGGAGTGCAGAGTCATGTTAAAGTTATTTGGCGCTGGGGGGCAGATAGTAGGGGTGAAACGGTCTCTCGTGGGCGCAGATGCTCAGGGCGGCGTGTGTGTGCATCAGTAACCGTGGAAACCGCGAGGTGAAGTAGCTGATGAAGCCTTCGGGCAGCTCGCCGAGCGTCTCCTGCACCTCAGGTGGCAACTCGTGGTAGTGATGTTTCTGTAACAAGCACAACTCAGAAAGTCAAGAGCAGAGTCGGTGTGTCACACGCTGCTCTCGGACACACGCTGGAGACCAGACATTTCACAGAAAGTTTCAAGGCTGGACGCATACGAGAACGCAAATGTCAGAGTCAGTAGCTCCGGACATTTCCCGGAACTATTCCTGCCAGGCCCAAAGTAAAATGGCAGGAAAATTCACAGCGAGCGAGAGGGCGTATGGATGACGTTTCTAACACTCAACAGATGCGGGAAGAAGGAGGATGATTAGGTATCATAGACACAGAATATGCAGGCGAAGATGTCAACTTGGGAAGAACTCATCTGACTTATCCGGCTGCGTTCTTCATATACTAAGAGCAAACCACAGAAAATGTCCAGAGCTTGAACAAAAACAAAAATGTAAGTGCGGGACTGACCTTATTCCTCATGGCTCTCAGCAGGTCTCGCACCAAGTTTCCTTTATATGTTCTGAATCGCCGCAAATCTGAAACGTGCACGAGCAAATGAACAGGGAGGGTTTGGTTGTCCTGCACAGTGACGTCATACGGTGTGGTCATGTTTGTGTTGCCTACCCGTCTGAAGAGGCCCAGAGATGTGCATCCTCCAGTTGGCTCGGACCACAGCTCTGCCTGCAGTCTCCAGTCTGACCACGATGGGACTGTCCGCTGCTTCCTTCTCTATACGATCACTCACATCCTTCACACACACACACACGCAGAATAACATGTTTAGAGTCGACAAACAAGAGGAGCACAAAAAAATAAAATGTCTATTCGACAGCGAGAGGAGACACAAACAATATGGACTCATTTAACAGACCTGGAAAAAGAGCAGCTGCTTCCCTAAACTCCAGAAGAAAGGATGCTTCAGCACGCAGGCGGTGGACGGACGAGACTCGGCCTCAGGACTGATCATTTGCTCAATCAGATCCTGTGCTATGACGTTATCTGATTGGACAGACGATATAAATATTGTTTTCAGGTTAGTGATTTGACTTAGATTCAATTTAGTGGAAGCAAATAGTTCCTGTTTGGGAATTTACAGCATCCACAAATAACAATTTTTATAATTATTAGACAAACAGATAAAGACACATGCAGACACCCTCACCGTGTATATCCTCCATAAAACGTAGGAGTGAATATTCTCCTGCCAGGATGTTGACCTGACGTCTCAGTGTGTCACCAAAAGGGTGCTGCCCCCTGCTGATCACGTAGTAAAACACGCAGCCGGCTGAGAACACGTCCACCGCTGCTGTCTGAAGAGAAACAAAACTGCGTCAGGCTGAAAAATGAACTTTATTAAAGACACAACAGCAAGTAAAACCTTTCAGCTGAGGGATTTAGGCTTGGATGATATGTATACAAAGCCATGGGAGATTTGTAAGACTGTAAAATGGATTTTACTTTAACTATAATATTAAAATAAAGAATAGTAGGTCCCATGAATTATCATTTTAAAGATAGAGCACGTTTTCATCAGTTCCTCAGGAAACAGCGTCAAGATCTTGATGTTAATTGATGATATTTAGGCAGATGCATGAATTGACTGCCATTCCATTTTACCACCGGTGATGAGAAAAATTTCATCCCATAAATTATTTGTAAAACAATCGGCAATTATGCATCTGCAGGGGGTTTGTCCGACTGTGACCACTCTGTCCTGTATTATGCATCTTACTGGTTTATTTCCAGGCGTATCCCGCAGCACTTCAGGAGCGATCCACCCTTCAGTTCCTGGAATCCCCGACCGCATAGAAAAGCTGGTCCGACCGTCTGGGATCTTCTTACAGAGTCCGAAGTCAGAGATGAGCGCTCGGACTTGACCCAGCACACTGGGAACCGACAGCAGGATGTTTCTGGGCTTCAGGTCGCGGTGGACTGAAGAGGAAGAGATGGTCAATTGGGATTTTTAGAGAAGCAGGTCATGAAGGAATAAAAGGAGAATGGCTGTGTGTTGTTGTGTGTATACATGTATGATCTGTGTATCTCAGACCTATGTTGAGTGAGTGCAGGTGTGAAAGGCCGCACATGGTCTGCTCCAGTAGAGTTATAGGATTCAACTCAGGAAAGCCAGATGGATCCTCCACATACTGCCGAGACACACGTAAGAACACGTCACTTCTGTCATTAAGTAAAAACTAAAAGTGCTCTGATGAGGGTCTCACAATACTTTGCTCTTTCAGAAACACTGACCTGCTGCAGCGTCGCGGCGCACAGCTCGATGGCGATGTACGTGAAGAGGTGGTCTCTCTCCGTGCAGAAGTATCGGATGACGTTCGGGTGAGTGTCGGACTCTCGGAGGAGCTGCACTTCTCTCTCCGCCACCTCAAAACACTCAGGCAGGATTCGCTTCACCGCTACGTGTCGTTCGTCAAACTGACCCCTGAACAGAGAACAGTACATTTTCCTTCACTTCTATATAATCTATACACAATCAGCTATGGCAGCAGCACAGTGGTAAAATATGGCATAAACACACATGTGCACGTGACGTGTACCTGAAGACGAAGGTTCCTGCTGTGCCGTGTCCGAGGACGTCAGACGGAGTGAAGGAGATTTTACCAACCTGCACCTCGTCACTGTTTCCCTCCGAGAGGTCTGAGGAAGACGAAAGAGGAGAGAGAGAAATTAAAATCTAAAGGATGACGGACAGGAAGGAAATAATTTATACCATGTATGAACAGTTGTGTTTAGTTTGCGTTACCTGCTGCGGGGTTGTGTCCCGTTGTATCATTTTTACCAGCGTCTGAGGTGCTGCTGCTCCGAGTGTGAGGACTCGGTGGAGGGTTGGCGGATGCAGGTGTAGAGTCTGGATAGAGAAAAGTGTAGATATTAATTGTGTGTGTACAAACCAAGTTTTACATAAAGCTAACTTTTCCCTGTATCCGATTGAATCAAGAAATAAATATTGAATAAATACGTTCCATTAAAAAAAAAAAACATTGCATCAACACCACCTCATACATTTTAATAATCTTTCATGTCTTTGGTGCAACAGAGAGAAGCCAGCTCATTAAGTGAAGGGAAAACAAGTTGTTTTATCAGTTGCTCACCACTGGAGAGGTTTGTGTCAGGGGAGAGACTCGTGTCTGTGGAGACCGAGGTCACCGTCTGAGTGTTTGTCTGCATGTTGGTCTGCATGCACTGGAGACGAGACTCAAACGCCTCCTCCAGCTGCCTTTGAGCTTTCAGCTGCTGGGCTGCTCGCTGGAAAAAACACAGATCGCAGATATGGATCACAGGTTCAGAAACTTAGCCTCATTTAAAACCCTCTGAAAACTAGAGGGTTGAACTAGGGCACGGAGAGAGCACATTATTTTGATCTGCGTGAAACTGTTCACACTCATAAATGTCAGTCCCTTAAATATGACGGATTGTTTTCATGAACCAGAAAAAAAACGCTCTAAACAATTAAAATTTAATGGGTTCTTCTCAATTTTCAAAACATAACTTCTGTTTGGTAAACTTTATAAATTAATCTCATGACCTCTGCAGCTAACAGAAAAACTGGTACGAGGTAATTAAAATTCAATTCAATCAAACATAATTCCATTCTACTGCATAGCCTGGGTCTAATTTAGTGATCTGTGACTCAAACTCACAACAGGGTACGTGAGCGCGAAGGCCAGCCATCCTCCCAGCAGCAGCGTCAGAACAGCCAGCGTCAGGCGGTCCTGTGTCATGTAGACAGGCAGCGCAGCGACCGGCCTCTGAGGCTGCGTCGGCCCTGAAGTGTCCCCGTCCACACGTCCTCTGTCACCATTAGTGTCGCTGTGGCCACCAGCAACTGTCTGGAACTGAAGGACACAGGGAGAACAAACAACGGAAACGTGATGAGCGTTTTATCATCTGCGTTTGTCTGCTTTATTTTTATGTAAAGCAGTTTGCAGTTCTAAGTGGCTGTTCAAGGGACATTTGGAAGTTTATCACATCGGTTCTTTGCTCTCTGGCACAGCCTGAAGTCGTCTGTAATGGAGAGTAACGGCCTAATAAGGATAACCGCCTGATTCTGGTGATTTACGGACCCTCAGGTGTAAAGGTGGGTGTGGGACTCACGTATCGTTGGTGGTAGTAGGAGACAGAGGAGGCGGGGGAGCCGGGGGGTCGAGGGGGGATGACCGCCTCACCAGAATGCTGCAGGCTGACTGGAAAATCCCTCAGCATGGTGGTGTGGGCGACTGGAGGGAGCTCGTGATGACCTGAGACACACAAATACACAGATATAATGAATTCATTTCAGGTGTGACGGGACTTTGCAACCATTTCTTTTGTTTTTCAAGGTATCCAGTTGTGTGAGAGTGTGTGTGTGTGTGTGTGTGTGTGTGTGTGTGTTTACCTATTAGCAGCCAGTGGTTCTTCTGGCTGTTGGTGGTCCCCGGTGGATAGTGTATGTCGGTGGACGGTGTGATCTCACACTCCCCTCCTTCTCTGACCGTCACTCCAGCCGTCACGGGACCTTCAATCCGAGCCAGGGTCAAACCCTGAGGCTGCCATGGCAACCAGAACCAAAAATCACTCGACAAAAGCAACTGTTTCATCATCATTACGAACACTATCCTGACTTTCTGATCGGATACAGTGCAATGTAGTGTACACTGAGTGTCACAGCAGTAACTTCTGGGTGTGTGAATTCAGACACATGATGAAAATGGATTGTGCGTTTGAACTCACCACTAATGAGACTCCGTGGTGGACGAGGGAGGTCGAGGCGTAAAGGTGAGAGTCCAATTTTCCAACATAGAGAGTCGGTCTGAAGGAAACAAAAGCTGGTTCATTTCCTCGGCTTTTTTTGTTTGTGTTTCTGTCGACATTATAACTCAAACACTTTAAATCTAATATAAATCATTATCATTAGTTAGATATGGGGTTTTCCACAGTAAAACAAATATCAGTTCACACAGGCTGCACAGGCGCCGTTCCCTCACAGCACGATGGTTCGTGGTTCGAATCCAAACCAATCAAAAGTCAGTCTCAGCTGTCAATCTTCATTTTCACGATCAACTAACTATTTAAAACCAAACTTACTAGAAACTGAACACTTGACCAAACATCAGATGATAAGAACTACCAACAATGAGAGAAATTATCTTTTGATTGTTTGTTCGTTGCCCATCCACTAATGTGGAGGAGGCGGGGTTTATGACCTATAGTGCCGCCAGCCACCAGGAAGGAATCAAGATGATTTGGTTTCACGTTTTGGGAGCTGTCATGTCGTCCATGCTTAAAATACACAGAATAAACACACAGCTCCACAATAGATCCAGCCAAGAACTTCACTTTGACTCATTGCACCAGATACAGTAAAACCAAACTGCAGAACTAGCACTTCATACTGTGTTAACACTCAACTAGTCCGAACCACAGGATAAACACACTACACCAGAGTTTATGCTGTTTGTCAAACTATCCTGATAGAGGGTCTCGGTGCATCGGCCTCGTCTGGATCGAATGAAGCACTTACAGTCGAAAACTGTTCAGGAGTGACGAGGGTTTGTGCCTTTTAATTACAGTTATTATATATAAGTATCACTCTGTACAAGTATCACTTCAGGACTGTATTTAACAAGTGTCTATTACTTCGTATGCATGTGTGAGTGTGTGTGTGTGAATCTTTTTTCTCTTACACGAGTTGTGTTTTTGCGCTTGCCTGCTCCTTCACAAACTGATAGCTCCACTTCAGCGTGGAGTGTGCGTCTCTGTGGTCGCTGGCAGAGGAGAAGGTGAGGAAGCGCAGCGTTTCCATGGCGAGGGACAGGTGGGGGGCGTGTCTCAGCGAGTCACCAGAATACAGGTAGACCCCCACGACGGGTGAGCCGTAGTTCTGAGTCCACAGGACGTCGCCTGGAAGACAAATAAAATTAAATATAAAAAAAAAAAACCCACATGTTCAACAATTCCCATCCATAGGTAATAATATGTTCACATAGTGAAAACCACACACCTCTCCCTACCTGACTCTCTGTCAACCGTCACAACAAGTCCGTCCCCACTCGACACAAGATGAGCCATTTCTGAGGGACAGCAGAGAGTTAGTGTCGGACGAGCAGGAATACTCAATACGTTCAACACGTTCTTTAAGGTTTTATGTTGCTGGTACTTCTAACCAGAACAGTTCTCTGCTAATACACTGGCTCCCACTCGAATTCAGGATTCAGTGAACTTCTCTCTATTTTTTATTACAGCAATTCTACAAAAGTACAACGTGCCTCACGAAGAAACGTGACTCGGGGAAGCTCTTGTTCTTCACAGGGTTCCTTCTTTGACAAATCTATCTGGATATTTTTTTGTAAACAATAAAGTAAAAAGCACTTAAAGAGCATGTAACTCTGGTAAAGTCTGTCATTTACATCTTTTGAACATTTTTAAAATTAAAATATCTGAATATTTATAATATCGTGAGATGCACAAGTGTTTGTTTTTTTGAATGTACAATCTTCCGATGTTAACAAGGTCGCTCTGTCTAAATGAGTGTGTGTGTGTGAGCAGGGACATACTGTAGTCTTGTTTCTCATCATAAGGAGGAGCAGAGTAATCGTTGTACGTGGCGTTCCATCGCAGCTCCTGCGTCTTAGTGTCAAACATGGTAACCACATATTCTGGAAGAGCAACGGACGAAAGGTCCATAAAAAAGAAGGTTGTGATTAATGAGAATACTCCGGCCGTGTGCGTGTGCACAGCACTGCTGGTGCAACATACCTGTGCGTCCTATGTAGAGCAGAGGAGAATTGGGGCAGATGGATTCAGAGGAGGAAGTGGTCAAACTGGTTTGCTTCTCACCCGTCTCAGGATCCACCACGAACCACACATCCTGCTTTTTACCTGCACACACACACACACACA